TCAGGAAATCATGAAATGGTTCCAAAATGCTCCGTTCAAATCTGTTTATGAACTTTCTCGCTACAGCTGATTCATTTGATAAAACAAGTTAAAGGATTTAGCATTTCTTTTCTTCGCTTATAATATTTGTTAGGTTTGACATTAATGCTTTAATATTACAAATAGTAACTATTACCAATGTTCAATTGTAATGCATAATAATTGTAATTGCGCCGTTCAGCGAGTGCAGTCGATGTAGGTAAAGGTATTGCTTCTTCAAAATTTTATTTGTAGAAATGTCGTGATCAGAGAGTGAAATTTTAATGAAAGTTTCTTCTTTACATTTTTCTCGAATTTTCATATCACGAAGCCAAAATCAAAAAAAAGCTGATAATGAGTACTTTACAGTTAAGAAGTTTAACTACTTCGCAAGGAACTCCATTATCAAAAATAATACCAAGTATTTTATTCTCTTTTCCATGATGTTTTCCGTGCTCTACGAAAAGGTTGGATTCATGTCTGCTATGAAAAATAAAAATTCAGTCGTGTTTGCATTCGGAACAAACCAACTTCGAACGAAGTATCACAGCAACAACATGAGTAATCATACCATTACTACGTGCAAGTTGAATAAATAATGCGAAACTGCACATCAAACCGAATTGCATCATCTATAGACAAAGAAGTAATTCAACATCCGTTCTCTTCGACAAAATTTCATTTCTTTCCAAAATTCATCCTTTGCATTCTTCCCAATACTTTCAATATTCATTCATTTATGAACGTCATTTTTGAATAAAATATGCTAATCTTTCACAATTACTCAAGCCACTTATTTTCTCTCTCGTAAGCTAGCTAAATTCCACTTGACTGTCCATTCATACATGAACTTCGATTAGAATCTTTCCTCGCGAATGGTATCTATCTAAGCCTTCATTCCGCCTCCTTAAGTAATCTAAACAGATAGTCGATCGGCGTTTTCAAAATNTCAATATCAAAAGGATACGCCATCAGTTTCAAAGCCCATCTACGCGATCTTTTAACAGCTGTCACTAGAATTCCAGTATTTGCACCGAAAACTTCAACCAGCGGTTAATTTATAGTATAACTTTCCGACCATAGAGAAATTGATAAAATTTCTCAATACCGTAAACAACTCCCAACGCTTCATTTCGTAATTACACTCCATTGGCGTTATTGAGGCGTAGGATATTACCTTTTCTATACCGTTTGTATAACGATGAAACAGTACTGCATCGACTTCCTAATTAGATGCATATATGACTAGCACTACTACTTCTTATGGACTATGGTGCACCAGTAGATACAGATCTCTTTTTATTTCCTCAAAAGCCCTTTGTTGTTCAATGCCCAATTCAATACCTTCTTTTACAGTAAGTTCAACGGAGTGGCTAATGTTGGATAGCATCAGTTGCAAGCTTTGATACAAATTCACTATAGTACTGCGTCAGTCCTTTAGATACCTCAACTTCCCATACTGTAGTTGGTCTGTGTACCCTAATGATAGTATAAATCTTACTATTTGACGGCGCGATTTCAATTTGACTCTTGGAAATATCGCATTTCCATTCAAACGTAAATCAGTTTCCTTGAATCTCTTTAGAATATTATCTAGTCATTTCAGTTTCCTTAAATCATCAGGTGCAGTCATTGTAGTATCACCTAGATATATGACAACACTTTCAGTTCCTTTTAGTTTATACTCCATTATTTGTTGGAACATAGCTGGAGCTGATGCTATCCTAAAAGTATTCGTTGATACATAAACAGACATTTACGGGTCGAAATGGTCGAATACTCTTTTGATTCAGTTACCTTGTTTGGTAACTAAATATGGGTTTGATTCATAACATGATAACATAATATTGATATGCTAACAATAAGGAGATTCCTATCCTGATTATAAAACTGCATTGCAGACTTGGTATCTTCAAACGAAGTCGAACATCCATCCCAGCACGAAAGACGAGCGATCTGTACTTCAATGCGCGTTCCGCCAACATATTGTTGTTCGTTTGGAGGATTGGATTGTGTTCGTTCATGAAAAAATCGCTAATCACAAATCCCGCATTCGTTCATGTGCGCAGGTTGAACGGGGTGAGGATGAAGCCTTATTTCGGGTACGGTTTACTAATGTGGGAAGACTGAATTCGTGATGGAGTACTCATCATTGGACCAACCAAACTGCCTATGATTTCTGGCTGATTCAGAAAATTTCTTAAATTTTAGAAAATTTCATAAGCAGCATGTTGCCCACTATTCGATTATCCGCATGTTAAGTTTTAAGTTGGGAGTTTACAGCGTAGATGAACACAACCGTATTCTTAGATTTTATTCCAATGTAACTTCTCTCGTTTTTAAGTCTAGATAGTGTTTCGATTTTTGCTTACCAAGCAGAGGTGGGAAGCTGCTCCTATTTTAGTGGAAACCATTTTATGCACAAAACTGCAGATAATATTAACATTAGCTTATTTTGCGTTTAATCGTCTTTCATCTGTACAGCTTAAGAAGTGTTAATTTGTTGGCGAATCGTCAAAAGTCTCTTCGATTCGTACTCATTCGTGCTCCGTTCGTTGTGTAAGTTCCTTATGCACGTCGGATGTATAGATAGTGTGCCTAAAATGCATACGCTGCGTCAGAGGACCAACGTTCATGTTAATTTTGTTTTCTGTCTTTACTTGTGGTTTGGTACCTGTGAAGTAATAGTAATCATAATGTCAGTTACGATATATTTTCGAGAATGATCTTGATTTTTAACCCTATTGTATTTTTTCAACGGCCTAATGAGCAAATGGAATTGCTCGATTACATGCTACCGTCAAATCCAGTTGATATTGACTGATCATTAGTATTTTAATCCCACTCAGCTCTTTGACCACGTTGCTAACTTGAAAGTGTGTAACGCGTTTCTAATTTCCCCAATCTGACTTCACAATTAAGACGAAAAATGTGAATGCGTTAAATAGGTATTGCTAGATGTTTGTTAAAAAGCAAACGTGTCATTGTTGTAAAGTTCAGATGATATTCATTTAATCTCAAATTTCTTGCGGTAATACGTATTTGTGATTACTTTTCCATTCACTTTTCTTTGCTATTAATTTTTTTCGCTTAATATTTTCTCGTTGGTATTTGCTTGTTAAAATTTGATGGAATTTGAATCAATCATTCCAAATTCTGTTATTTTTTTCCAGTTAATTGATTGGGTTATTATCAGCCTTTTGTAAAAATGCCGCGCGTCAAAAATGTGATGTCAAAGGTCTATAAAAGTCCTCGACGCCCATTCGAAAAGGAACGTTTGGACCAGGTTAGATCATTAAAAGCTATTTCATCCTAATTGTACCCTGTAGTTTCAAGATTTTACAAGTAAGAATATAATTTTATTGAATAATTTTTTTGTGTAGGATCATGAATGGAGCCTCCTTTTTGATTTTTGTGTACAACTTTCTCTTTATTTGCAAGTAATCGGCAAAGTTCGCAAAATGCCGAAGCGTATGAACTTCAGTGTATTGAAAAGTTGACTGCTAACTCTCAAGTAACGCGCACAACGTGTTATTTATATTCAGTAACCTACACAGAATCCAGATCTATCCCATATCACCCATCGTCTTAATATCGTTTCAAATGACGTTTCTGAACTTCACTACGGCATCTCTAGCCAGCAAATGATGCCTAGATCT